ATGAATGCAGCAAACCCGCGCGGCTGGCCAGGTCTGGCTTGAATAACCTACTCAGTATTGGCTGAAACCACTATTCTCAAACAAGTAAAATCGCTCGTGATTGGCAGCAAAACCATACGTGGCCACGCCAGGCTTTAATTTTCTTACTGAGTATTGGACGGAACCACTTCTTTTTAAACAAGTAAAGTCGCTCGTGATTGGTTGGCATATATATATATTTACATATATATATTTATTCATATATATATATATATATATATATATTTATTTATTCATTCATATATTTATTCATTCATATATTTATTCATTCATATGGTGTGTATTTATGTTATCCTACACTACTACACAATTATTATGCTACCATCAAGGACATGAATGAATTTATACAGGAAATGAACATTTGCCAGGAAGCTGTTTATGCAAAGAAAGAGCTTTATTAAAACACACACAACTATATACAACGCGTATCCAAACACATGCATTTCTAAAAATTAAAAGTCCGTGAACGGTCCGTTTGCTTCCTCGGGGTTGGAGGTAACGGGCAGCATTCCCTCCGAGGCAGGTCCAATGTGCAGACGCCTACTGTGCGTGGCTCTGTACTTCGGCATCGCTTCTAACCGGGACTGCAGCTTAACACAGAGTTCAGAGGGATCCGGCCTACGAAATGGCGGCGACCGTACAATCCATCCAGAGACACCGCTGACGACGGCGGACTTCCAGAGTTCCACTTCCTCATCTGCTAGCACACTCTGCCTCGCTTTCAGCAGCTGAAAAAAAAAAACAATGAATCAGCGCACTGCGTATGGACACAACACATCTATTAATGCACCTGAAAAATAGTCACCAAATAAAGTCTTACCCTCTTTCTTCTGGCCCGACTCCGAGCAGATAGCCTCCGCACGCAGCGTGTTGGCTGGCAGCGTATATCTGAAGCTCCTGCGTACCGTCTGAAAATACGTCTTACAGGCAGCTGGAAAACAATTAAATGAGAGCGGTATAAATAAAAAATCAAATGCAAGTCACAGTAACAAGGAAGGAGAAAACATTAAAACAAGTCACTTACACACAATGTCGTCTTTATCATCATCGTGCATATCTGGACTTGCTGATTATGGCTCCGAGCAAAAAGGAGGTCTGTGAAAACAAAATGTAAAGCTATGATCGGTATCCATTACCTTTTACCGCAGAATGAAAGCATATTCTTTAAATCTTACCCTTGCTCCGGTTCATAGCGCCTGCAATTAGTCTCCGAGTTGTTAAGACGGCGTACTGCTTCCTGTAAATCACAAAAAATGCACTTTAATAAAGCTTGTTCTTGCAAGGCTAGGCTAGATAGGCTAATAGCTAGGCTGCTATTAGCCATAGCTCAGGCTAGGCCGCTTTTAGCTTAGCAGGCAGTAATCGAACATATATTTACCGCTAGCATCTCTTCTTTGAGTTCGTCTTGTTCGATGCAGAGTCGCCATCGCGTCCAAGAATTGCAATTGCGGATCTTGACCTGGCCAGACCGTATGACCACAGTGTACCAATCTTCTGATGGCTACTTCCAACAGGATAATGCGCCATGTTATAAAGTGAATCATCTCAGACTAATTTCTTGAAACTTTTCCACTTAAGTAATTGTGAATTGAGCATATTGACAGACAATATTTTATTTTTTATCTTAAATGCAAATTTTTAAAAAAATAATTACTGCTCTAAATGTATTGCTCTGTCAGCTAAAGATCTGTTTTGGTCTCTATACTTTAATTAAATAAATCAATTCAAGCTAAAATGTGAGAGGCTATACTAAGCCTGATCTCTTTGTATCAGAGATTTTCTTCCTCAGAAAGATGTCACTTGGGGTAAAACCGCCCCTGCAACCCTGGTTTGCATTTGTATAGCTCACAGCATGTTCATTTACATGTTAAAGCCTCCCCTAGAATTCCATGGGGGGGAGGCATGGGGGGAACACTGCCTAAGAAATTCCACGTCAATTTCTGACAATTTACGGGAGTTTTCGACGAAGCCTGCAAATTGCCGTAAACTGCCGCTAACCTGAAGTTCCACGACAATCTACAGTGCCTATTGACGAAAATCCCACTTTTCATGCAGTGATAGGCTGCCTGCCTACCTGTCCTAACCCAATGCATGGCCTGTGACTGCAGGTGGGTGAGGGGATGCTTGTAGGTGTCTGGCGCCTGGGCTCTGGGGGCTGTCGTAAGGTACTTGGCCTAGGGAAATGGACTGTCTTGGTTGTAATTGCCTGGAAACCATGTCTATGAGAGGACCATATGGACGTGGGGAACTGGAACAGCTGTGGCTGGCTGGGGGTGAGGTGGGCTCTTTGGCTGGTTTGCTACCTGCTGTGTGGGGGTTTGTGGTTTATGGGGAATACTTTGGAGGGGCTGGGATCAGTGCTGTTTGGGGGGAGTTCCTCCTGGGGCTGGGGCTAGACCTGCTACACTGCTGCTTTACTCCCTTGGTGGTACCCTGTCACAGCTCCCTGATCCCAGACCCAGCTCAAGCTGCCTGCCCCTTTACCCCACTGGGGGGTCTGGGGATCTCCTCTTGTGTCTTTGGGCCTGTTATCCCTGGAGGAACTGGCCGCTAGACCCAGGTATGTATTAGGAGTGTAAAATATGTTTACCTTATACAGCCAAGCTCTTCCGGGCTCTTTATTTTCACGGACCTCGAAGGACCCAGTCCAGGTAATAATAATAATAATGCATTTATTTAAAAGGCGCCTTTCTGGACACTAAAGGTCACCATACAAAAGATAAAAAAACAATGGCAGAAACAGAGTTCCAGAGACGGGTGGCACAGTGGCTGAATGCTCTGCTCCCTATTGTGGTGAGACAGGCAGAAGGGACACACAGGTGTAAAGCAGAGAGAATCTGAGAGCACGAGAAGGGGTGCGAGGCCTGACAGATATGGGGGGACTAGGTGGTGAAGGGCCTTGAATGTCAACATGATAATTTTATATTCAATGTGGAACTGCACAGGGCGCCAGTGGAGCTGTTGGAGGACCAAGGTGATGTGGTGGATAGAGGAAATTCTTGTTATAATGCAGGCAGCTGAGTTCTGGACAAAAATACAAGGTATTAGCAAAACAGTCAGTAAATCAACACCAGCTCCTGTAATACCAACACCAGCTCCTGTACCAATACCGTTTCCAGTTAGACTAAACTAAGTTAAAATGCCAAAATCCTTCCAAATTAGCTTTAAAAGTTTACAAGGAATTGTTCACCAGCTAATTGCCTACTCCTACTGTCTTGATGTTTTACCCACATATTTTGCTGAGAATAAATGGCTCTTATCAGGCCTGTTCGGGTCTCTTGGGTTTTGCTGTTTTTCCTGTGTGAGTGAGTTTCCTGTCACTGAGGATCTTTGCTGATGGCTGAGCTGACCCTTTTTGCTGCACACCTAATAAACATTTCTCAGTCAAGATAATTAGTGTGTATAGGAGAAAGTGAAGGATCTTCTCTTTTTACCGGATGATTACTTCTGATGGTATCCTAAACCAGGAATATCTTTCTTGTTCAAATGTGTCTTCTTGTGAATCTCTTTTAATGTGGACTTTGTTATTGTTCAAGACAACCTGTAAGTCTCAGTGTCCTATCTTCATGGAAAAGGTCTTACCTATGTGCAGCAGTTATCTGTGTTTATCACCTCCCTACCCCCTATTCAGAACAACGTCTCTTGCAAGTAGCAAAGCTCTCAGATCTCACTCAAATTCTCTTGGACCTCTGGGGTACAGTTTGCAAATCCTGCTAAATCAAACCCCTACAGATCAATACTATCTCCTCTTCATCTCTAAAAAATCTGTCATTTGGCAGTTGTCATCAGCAACCTCCTTCCTGATCAGTCTGCTTTTTCCCTCAGACCAACCAGAATGTTCAATCTAGTTCCTAAAGGACCACTGCCCTGCATGTTTGGTGTCTTATTGTTGCCACACACCTTACATACGTTAACATATGAATAGCAGACTTCTGCAGCATTTGATTACTGGTGGAGGTCAGGTGTCTTGCAACAGAGAAACATCTAAAAAGTGCAGGATAGTGATCCAGGACCAGGATTAAGAACTGCAAGTTTAACCAAGTGATTTCCCTATTCTTTTGGTAAATTTCTTACTTTTTCTCCTACCCAGGTTTTCACAAACGTGCCACATTTCACAAATGTTTTTGGCAAATGGTCGTAAAGTATCCTTATAAACCTGATGATTTCCAATGCTTGTCAGGTGTTAATTCATAAATTGGCATTTAGGATGAAGAAAAAAACTTTACGGGTTCAAAGATCAAAAGTTTTGCTGACTAAGAGCAGACCGGCACGATTAAAGGAACAGTACAAGTCATGCAGTAAAACAAATCACATGCGCTGTAAATGACGTAGTTGTACTGTTACAAAAGTACCAAAAAAGAATAGAAAAAGAAAAATTATATTGAACTCCATGTGAAACATATTTTATATTATCTTCTATGTACACATAAGAAAACAACACATAGAAACAGTTGACAATGAAAATCAATTAAATAATGCTATGATATCGTTGTTCAGCATTACGTTTTTTTATAATCAAAGTTTATGTTGAAGAGTTTGGTTCAAATGAATGTTTGAACCTGTTTAGGGAAATTGAAGGTCAGTAAACCATAAAACAGTATTTCGTTAGATAATATTTTATTTAGTTATTTGGCTGAATCAGAAATCTATAAATGCTAAGAAAACTGATCAATTATGGATAGGGACCCTTTTAGAGATCAATAATATTAGATTGACTGAGACGCAAAGCAGATGAACAGCACTGACAATGGATATATATAAATATATATATATATATATATATATATATATATATATAAATATATTTATATATCCATAAGTAATGACATAGCATTATAAAAATGAACAGTTGTCTCTCTAAATATGTGATTTAATAGTATAAACTTCATAAAAAAACAAAGGATAGTGCTAGATCCCCTTAAGCCAATACAATTTAAAAATTGAAATACAGACTAACTTCCTTATGAGAGCTGTATATTTGCATAGTTGCTATTAAGTATTTTGCCAGAGATGATTATTCTGAAAGCAGTTCGGAACCAGCTGTAAAAGTAGCAGTAAACAAATGGATTTAGCATCGAATTTGACCATCCAAGCCAGACAAGAGTTTCAGTCACTGGTGATGGAATTGAATAATTCGACAAAGGGTTAAAAGTTATAGAAATAAAGAAAGGGGTCCAACAGAAAAGGAATACTCCCATAACAATAGCAAGGGTTTTGGTGGCCTTTCTCTCCATCTTAATGGTTGTTGCTCCAGCCTTTGTGCCCTGGATGCTGCGTGCCTGTTTTTTTGCCACAGAGAAAATCTTAAGGTAAATACAAAGCATTATGAAGACGGGTAAATAAAACGAAACAACAGTGCCAATCACATTGGAATTCGGAATATGAAATATGAAACACCTTCCTTCACAAACAGTATTTCTAAGTCCCACAAATATGATACCAAATCCTGACAGGGATGAAATAGTCCAGCTTGACAGAATCATAATGGAAACAACAGTAACATTCATTTTTGTTCTATATGTTAGAGGTTGACAGACTGCATAATATCTGTCGATGGAGATGCAGCACAGATTAAGAATAGATGTAGTCATTAGTGAAATGTCCAAACTTCGTCGCATTTTACAGACTAAATCTTCAAAGTAAATGCATGATTGTACAGTGAGAGCCATGTTAAAGAGCAAAACCAGAGCGCCAACCAGCAGATCAGCCACAGCAAGTGAGAGGATGAGATAGTTGGTTGGAGTGTGAAGCTGTCTGAAGTATACAATAGATGTGATCACGAGAAGGTTGCCACTGATTGTGAGAATAGACACCATGCTGCCAATAAACATATATAAAAATGAACGTATTGCTGATGGGGTTATTTCCATAATGCAAGAAGATTTTCCTGAATCATTACAGAAATGCACCTTTTCTTCGTAAACCTTGTTGATTATCAGTCCAGACTCCATGCTTTCTGCATTCGTCTTTCATCAATTCAATAGCAAATTATATGATCATATTAACAGAAAAACAAATACTTAAAATTAAGCAACTGTAGTAAGAACACAATATTATAAACTCCAACATCTTGTGGCGTAACAAAACTCCACAAAATGTCAATCCTTGAATCCAGTTACCATAAATAAAACTTTTTTTCATACATTCAGATGAATCATTTTTTTTATTTCTAACATTAAGTCAGAGTGTAGACCAGGATGTTAAACCTGCTTTTATTATTAATCATTTTGTTTGATCCCTCCCATGAGCAGTTGTAATCCAATTATTGCACTACAACTTGTAAACAGGCATTGCCACTGACAGAAAGTAACAAGTTCAAGCAAATAATGACAAACATGTATTTTTAACTTAGTATAATGTAGTTTTTAAAAGAACAACTGATCAATTTTATAATGCAGGTTGAATCAAAGAATTTCACGAATTATAACTGAAAACATTAAATTACCTTGAATAAATTATAACTGTTCTAAAAATAAAAATGGTGTAGATTCTTTATCTCTAAAACCATGATTATTCATTGTCCTCCTTTTTACTGCCCTTCACTTCAGATAGTAGTCTATTTATAGCTGTGAATTTGTTTTGTACCTTTAAGGGCTGGTTATACTTCTGCAGCAGTGAGCTTGTTGCAGGTATGATGCAGATAATTTTGATTTATGCCGAAATATGAAGTGTGGTCTGCACCATGTTATTCTACACCACAACGCAATAGGGACAATCGTGAACTAGCCGTGGGTCTAGATACGGCAGAGGCAGTGTTGAAGCGGTGGTAAGTTTGTGCAACAACGGAGGGACATGAGGGCTAAAATGAGCGGGGATCCAGATGGAAAAAGAGTCCCAGAATTCTAGCAATCCTTGCTCTTCTTGCTGATCCATCTTCACGGGTCATTTTCCACAATGGTGGTCATACAAACAAACAAGCCGTGAAGGTACCAAACAGGAGATACGCATAGTGTAGAGCGGATGTAGATTTGACCATTTAGAGGTTTCCTGTCTGCACCACTGTCTGCGGTCACCTACAATTTTGGAGAGGTGCACCAGAGGGTCTGTGGAAGGGGCGGGGCATATCTGCATTAACTGTGACATACATGCAGACGACCTGGTTTCTCAGTATAAATCTGTCTTTAGGCACAACTGGGGCCTGTCATACTATTTTCCCTACTCCCTTTAAAAAAACAGGACCCTTGATAATTTCTTCAACATAGAGACATAAATCAGTTTTTATCCAGATTCAAGGAGAGTATACCGTATCTCATTTTTTAAGTATTTCCAAAATCTAGAATTCTAAACCACCCAATTGAGGAAATGTTTTCCTTGTTTTTATGTTGCTTAGCTTAACTCCCACTGTACAACTTGCATGATTTTAATGTTTGGAAAATGGAGGTCTTTCTCAAAATATTAGCATATTTTGATAAAGTTAATTATTTTCCATAATGTAATGATACAACTTGAATATTCATATATTTTAGATTTATTGCACACTAACTTGTCTTAATATGGATGATTTTGGCATACAGCTCATGAAAACCCCAAATTCCTATCTCACAAAATTAGCATATTTAATGGAGGCAATCAGCCTGAGGCCCTGCTGAGGTGTTATAAAGGCCCAGGATGCTTCAATAGCGGCCTTTAGCTCATCCAGAATGTTGGGTCTTGCGTCGCTCAACTTTCTCTTCACAATATCCAACAGGTTCTCTATGGGGTTCAGGTCAGGAGAGTTGGAAGGCCAATTGAGCACAGTGATACCATGGTCAGTAAACCCTTTACCAGTGGTTTTGGCACTGTGAGCAGGTGCCAGGTCATGCTGAAAAATGAAATACTCATCTCCATAAAGGTTTTCAACAGATGAAAGCAAAATCACCTGAAAACTAGCTGCATTGCCCTGCCCTTGATAAAACACAGTGGACCAACAACAGCTGCTGACATAGCACCCTAGATCATCACTGACTTTGATACTTGACACTAGACTTCTGGCATTTTTGCTTTTTCTTCTCCCCAGTCTCCCTCCAGAGTCTGGCACCTCGATTTCCAAATGACACGCAAAATTTGCTTTTATTGGAAAAAGTACTTTGGATCACTGAGCAACAGTCCAGTGCTGCTTCTCTGTAGCCCATTCCTTGGGAATGCAGCACCTGTAGCCCATTTCCTGCACACACCTGTGCACGGTGGCTCTGGATGTTTCTACTCCAGACTCAGTCCACTGCTTCTGCAGGTCCCCCATGGTCTGGAATCGGCCCTTCTCCACGATCTTCCTCAGGGTCCGGTCACCTCTTCTCGTGGTGCAGCGTTTTCTGCCACACTTTTTCCTTCCAACAGACTTCCCACTGAGGTTCCTTGATACAGCACTCTGGGAACAGCCTATTTGTTCAGAAATATCTTTCTGTGTCATACTCTCTTGCTTGAGGATATCAATGATGGCCTTCTGGACACCAGTCAGGTCAGCAGTCCTAGACATGGTTGGGGTTTCGAGAGATGAACCAGGCTGGGAGTTTTAAAGGCCTCAGGAATCTTTCGTGTTTAATGTTAATTTGTTGATTCAGATGATTAGGTGCATAGCTCGTTTAGAGACCTTTTTCATGATATGCTAATTCCTAAGATAGGAATTTGGGGTTTTCATGGGCTGTATGCCAAAATCATTAATATCAAGAAAATAAAACACCTAAAATATTTCAGTTAGTGTGCAATGAATCTAGAATATATGAATGTTCAGGTTTTATCATTACATTATTGAAAATTATGTACTTCATCATAATACACTAATATTTTGAGAAGGACCTGTACGCTCTTATGATCCAATTATAGAAATTATCTTGCATTCATCATATCTAAGGACAAGACACCTAAATGATTTCATTTTCAAGAAGGCTCATTAGAGGATTTACTTCTCACACAAGTACCAGAATCTTAATCCATCTGATCCTGTTTCAGATTGACATCATCCAATCTGTCTGCTGGCTCTTCCACTACTCTCTATTTTGGATAGATTTCAAATATTATTGAAGCCAATCCCCTTTATTATTGACATATATATTACTAGAGCCAGCAAACTGGCAGGATTCTCTAGAGAGTTCTATGCTAAAACTAAGAGATTAAGGATCAGTTTATTCCCATCACTTCAATGGGTCAGGAACACGATATATAAAATTATCTATGTAAACAAACCTCGTCATTACCTGACAGGGGGGAACCTATTCTTTTTACAACAAAAGCGTTTGTATGTATGGATTTGGAGAAGGGAAGGGAGTGCAGTCAGACCAATAAATGTTGTCCAATAAATAAATAAGAAATGCATGATTACTTTTGACAAAATGAAGTAGGTGTTAAATTTGCAAAATTGATCTGCTTACCTACCACCAAATAAACTTAAAGAGTTATTGGATTTATTTTTTCACTGGAAAGTGAATTTCTTGACATTAGTAAAGATGTGAGCAATTCCAGTTCCTGAGGGCCAGAATCCAGCAACTTTTACGTAGATTCACCCTTGGTCCAACACACCTGATTGAAATGGCTGGTTACCTCCTCAGTAAGAAGTCAGTTCCTATTTATATAAGGCTTGTATTGCAACACAAGCTCTAGGTGTATTAGCCCAATATGAAAAAGAACTATGTGGGCTTAAATATGTAATAGGCATTCATGATTAAATGTTTATCCTGGAGCAAATACCACATCATGTGACTACTCTGCTGTACGGTATTTGGTGCTTTAAGTTTAAATTCTATTACAATATTGATGTGAAAAAGTGGAAGAAAACTCATATACTTGCATAAGACCGCTTCCTGTGAACGGTTTTCCATGCTTCAAAACTAGCAGCAGTTTTGGAGCTTGGACATCCAGAAAATCCTTCAGCATTGGAGATAAAAAAAAAGAAAAAAAAATCAGTCCATTCTTCTTTAAATCTTCTGTTTTCATCAGCTATCTTCCTTTTTTTTCCTTTTGGGGTCCATGGCCCAAGACAAACCTGTCGTTTTTTTTACAACAACCACCTGCAAGGCACCGTGTGCAAACAAACGTGTGTTGCAGGCTATTATGCAAATCTTCGTTGACAGAAATGTTTACATTTAGTTTTTAAATTTATTTATTATACAAATTTGTACAGCATTGGAAAAAATAATGCATGTGTAGTTTGACTGCCTGCACACCATATACTCTTTGTGGGTCACAAGCTGTGCAGCTTCCTTCAAGGTTCCTGCTGTTGTGACGCCGATCCCCAGGTTCTCCTCCAGACATTTATTCATGGCCGGTCTCCCGGCTGTCCTTTAGATACTCTCCATCTCCTCACGGCCGACCTCCAGAGAACCTCCTTCATCACCATCCTCAAGGCCTGCCTCTAGACACTGTGCTTCGTCTATGGCCTCACGGACAGCCTTCAGACACTGTGCTTCATCTCCGCTCTCCGGTCTGGCCTCCAGTGATTCTGCTTTTTCATTGGCCACATTTGGTGAGGTGTTTTGTGTTTTAAAAAATCTGATTGTTTTTGTATTTTGTTTCTTGCCCTCTTTCCTGGTTCCCCATCCGTCCACATTTGGTGGGTTGCTTTGTGTTTTGGATTGAAATTCCCAGAAGAAAGAGGGTGACCACTCCAGCGACTGAAATGTTGAGGGAAGTTGACTGGAACTTAACGGAAAACCAGAGGCCATTTGGCTGGCTTTCACCCTGAAAAGGAATTTTAACTGCAACTACAGTAACTGCAGTATAAAATAGTGGAAGTCCTCCATGCCATCCCCTTAATGTGCATAATATCTATAGGTTATTTACAGTTTAGCATATTCTTTTCAGGTTCCATTAAAATTGTCAAGGATATTGATATGTTTGGGTTTAACTGTAAATTACTGAACCATATGAGGCTAAAACCTACATAGCCCTATACAGTTGAACAGTTTTTTTTCACTTTTTACAGGGCAGTGGTTAGTGCGCATGACCCATACACAGTGGCCATAGTCCGCGACGCGCCTCGAATCCGACCTGTGGTGCTTTGCTGCACGTCTCTCCCCCTCTCTCATACCCCTTTCCTGTTAGCCTACTGTCAGAAAAACAAGCCACTAGTGCCATAAAATCTCAAAAAAGATATCAGTCTATCAATGTACAACCTTTGACAGGGTTTTATGTTTTATATCCTATCAAAATATCTTACAAAGTTGTTTTTTGCAACTATATAAAGGATGTAAATGTTGTAAAATTACACTAAGAGCAGTTTTATTTTCACTTTTTCAGAATACGCAGAAACAGAAGATGAAGTTGAAATTAAATTAATTTCTTTTCAACATTTGCATTCAGAGTGAATATTTGATAAAGGAGTTAGATTGTTGCTCAAAAGTTATCTAATGATGCAATGACATTGTGCAACCTAGCATCATCGTCATTAAAGGTGTAAATGACCAACAAGTGTTTTGTCCCTGAGCTCCTTTGGTGCTGCACAGAGCTCTTCTCTCCCTAAGGGGTGTATCAGATGTGCAAACTAGGCCAACTTACCCAGTGCAATTAAGTCCTGTTTACAAGTGCAAAGTTTCCAATAAAGTTAGAATGTAAACACAAAAAAGAATGCAACTTTAAAAGGCTAATTGAGACAGTGTGAGAAATAAAATTGTTCAAATACAATTGATTAAAACATAATTAATAGGCTTTTTGTGATTGTTTTGGCTGCAATGCTTAAGAGAGACAACTAGAACATGAGACCTGCATTTGCGTTTTTGACCAATAAATATGTTAAAAAAAACTTGAACTACTCTAAGAGTAACTCATAGTACCCTCATAAACTATGAAATTGAACCTGGCTATGCAGTTTTTGTGCATTTAACATAAAGGAATTTGAGAAAGGACTTTTAGACTAAACCCCCAAATGTTTTTGAGAAAGTAAAAAAATGCTTCTATTGTAATTACAAACAACTTAAATGTATTACAAATGCACATGCACCAGAAATTTATTATGGGGCAAAGCAAACCAACTTCTCCATTAAGGCCCCATCACTCAACTTAATCTGTTGCAGCTGCATGTCATACATGCTGAGAAAACAAATATGTACGTGGACTTCCATTAGTATTTTGTGTGCAAATTAAACAAACTTGTTTATTTTGTCCACACAAAATATCTCTTTTCCAGATATGTCAATCCCAGGGTCTCTACTCTCATTTTTTGTCTTAGCTTCTATGTACTAACCCAATCGCATTCCCCCCAACTCCTTTTACGTTACGGACCATATTTACATGGCCAGCTAACTGACTCATGACTCATGAACTGTGAATTTTACCCTGGCTGGCTCAGTTGGTAGAGCATGAGACTTTTAATCTCAGGGTCATGTGTTCAAGTCCCATCTCCGCAAGTGTCGTGTTATGTAGGGCGACCAGTTCTTGATATGTTCACAATAGCAGACTGGCTTGTTGTTCCACTCAATGCTCTTATATTACAGAGCCAACTTGTGGAACAGCTGCTAGTTTTGTGCAAAAATCTTGATTAATAGCATCAGATTTTCCTTGATGCTTGCGCAACCACAGGCTGCTTTTGCATTACTGCCCACCTGTGCATTTATTAATGCTCATATCTCATAGAATCTTGAGTCAACTTCTCATATTATGCACTATAATTTAGAAACGTGGAGTCAGGATGGCCGAGCGGTTCAAGGCGCCAGACTCAAGGTATCAATCCTTACCTGCTTAGAGTTTTCTGGTCTCCATTAGGAGGCGTCGGTTCAAATCCCACTCCTGACATTGTGTATTTTCTCTAATCCACACCAATAATTTTCAATAGAAAAACAATAAATAGATGTAATTTATTAGCATACAGTTTAGGAGTTCTTTTTGTTTTCCTTTTAAATCAGTTTAGGAGTTCTTTTTGTTTAAAATAATTTAAACTGTATTTTTTGCAAAACAGGTTGAATTCCGCTCCACGAGCTTAATGCACCGTCTTGTCCTCCAGCCATTTAAACGACTACCTTAAGTTACCGAATCAGATTACCTTATTCTAAAGGTATGTGTAGAAGAAAGTTGTTCAACAATACTTTTATACACACATTTATTAGATTAAATAATTATTTCCTAATTCAAATATTCCTTAATAAAATAAAAAATTTTAATTTAAAATTTTGAAACAGGTATGACAGTATTTGGGGAGTGTTGGCCTTGCAGTTAGAGCAGTGTGCTTGTGTTCTGAGAAGGTTGCAAGCACCTGGTTCATTCCGCACAGTCCCACTCTGGGTTCCTAACCCCACACTGCTCCCCGGGCGCCACTTAATGGCAGCCCACTGCTCCCAATTGTGGGACAATGAAGGGATTTACATTTTTTTGTTGCTTTTTTTTTTTTTTTTACATTTCACAAGCCAAAATGTGTGATTTGGACTGCTGGAATTAAAGTGTTCAGTTATCTACCTATTACTAAACTCTATTAACCATAATTGATCCCAACCATCCCTGTTTCATTACATATATTGAGAGGTTTCATTCAATATATTTCTATTCATGCCATATATCCATCAATCTTCTGACACGCTTAATCCCAAGTGGGGTCGCAAGGATTGCTGGTGCATATTTACAGCTGTGTAGGGGTGAGAGGGGGGGTTCCCCTGGACAGGTCGCCAGTCCATCACAGGGCAACACATAAGACAAACAACCATTTATACACACACTCACACCTAAGGGGACTTTAGATGCATGCAAACTCCATGCAGAAAAACCCGGGCCAGGAATCGTACCCAGAACCTTCTTGCTGAGGAAATAATTGACAGTTTCGAAGTGGCCCATCCAGGTCCTCTATTTTAATCCAATTAAAATGGATGCCATAGATTAGGGTGATAAAAAAGAGACCGATCATCCTCAAGATCATCACATCAGTCACAAAAGAAAAACGGAGCAGCACCAAAACATCCAAAAAGCGCACAACAAATAAAGTTGTGTTGTATAAAGGCATGGGCGTAGGTTTGCATAGGGACCATAGGGACATGTCCCTACCAAAATTTTGGACGGACCTGTTTGTCTTTATCAATAATTGGATGTGAACAACATGTTTATAATTTACTATACAGCAGCCGCTTCTTTTCATCTCGCAGCTTCTCTGCCTGGTAGCTGCAGCTGCTGCTCTTTCCTGTCCCTTTCACATAGCAGCGCATCAACTGTGCTGCACGGTTTAACTCTCTGATAATTCTGCCTTAAGTTCCGCCTTCTCTCTTTCTGATTGCGTGCTTTCTAGTCTGTATGTGCGCGCGCGGGTGCTTGGAGCGCGAAAAAAAAAGACGCTAAAATAAATTAATATTGTACGACTACGACGGAGTATTAGGGCCACACATGAAGAGAAAAAATATGTGTGGCCCTAATACTCCGTCGTAATATTGGGCTACGAAACTAGTCCAAATTAAAAACTTATTATCTACGCTAAAACAGGCGAAAGCTTCTGATTGGAGTTCTGTAAAGAAGCAGGAGAGAGTTTTTTGATTTGTGGAACTTGAGAAATGTAAGTTAACAACGTTAGGATTTCTTTTATTTTATCTTTTAATCAGATAGCCAAAGGCTCCTTAAAGATCTTTTATGAAATGAAACCAGGTGAAACAGAAACGTTTAAACGTTTCCTTTGGAGGAGTTCTGGATGGAGAATATTGTGAGACAACTTTTTTTTTTACTTCTTAATTGCGAAATGTTTACATATTTTTTACAATCTTGGTATAATTCCTGCTCTAAGTGGGTCGCTCTGTCAGCTAAAGGCACATTTTAGTGGCCCTATACTCCAGTTTACGATTAATCAATTACTAAATTAGTTCACGATTATTTAAATAATTTGTTAATATGATTGTTTCAGCCATAGATAAAATACATGAAATTAGCTACACAGAGTAACTACAGCCCAGATGTACAACTTCTAATATCAATACTTTAAATGCTCAGTGTCAGTTCCTCTTCTAGTTCCAGTGCACATGTAAATACAATACATTTATTTACCGTCCCTTGAATGTATTATTTTGCATGATCTAGAGAGAGCATATTAGATAAAAAAAAAATAAATAAAAATAAGAGTGGGTTTTACCTCTGCACAATTCTATATTTTCAGAAGAAAACACAAGATAAATCCACATATTCTAGACTATATTTGGTTAAACAGACACTGTCTTGGTAGCAGGTAAATTTAAATGCAATCCTTTTCAAAGTGGAAAAAGTCCTAATTCCACTTTCATCAGAGCAAGTTATGCTTTAAATATTGATAAACAGCTTCTAGTGCATGTAGTGCTTATAAGATTTGTATTAATGTAGCAAGAAATGCTGCTGTTCTCTTTAAACAAAATGAGCCCTGAAGCTCACATTACACATAAAAAAGAGCATGCATATTTTTTGCAAAGGACCAATGAAACTGAAGAATAGTGTCCCTACCAAAGTTGAAATCAAACCTACGCCCTTGTATAAAGGTAATGCAAAAAAAGCACTTTCCCCATTAAGTTTTCAGAAGGGTATACATTACTTTAATATGATATATTTCTAAGAATCAGACAACAGAAATAAACACACTGCTTTTTAAAATTGATGTGTGTGTGTTAGTAGGGCCTTTGGGGTATGTATGTGTATACGTATAAATATCAAGATATTCTAGAATGACTCAAATCACATTGGAATATTTTTCCTGAAATGATCATTTTGAAAGCTGATCGGAACCAGCTGTAAAAGAAGGCATAAATTAAAGGATTAAGCATTGAATTTGACAGTGTAAGCCAGTTTAGTGTCTCTATTACAGGGACTGGTGGGGGGCTGTGATATAATGGCTGGAAGACAACGCAGGTGAAATAGGGAGTGAGACATAAAAGAAATACCCCCATCACAATTGCCAGGGTTTTGGTAGCCTTTTTCTCCACCCTGCTAACTGTTGTTCCTGGCTTTATGCCTGAGCAGTTTGCGTTATGGATACTTTTTAATTGTTTCTGGGCAACAAGGAAGATCTTGAAGTAAATACAGAGCATTATGACTGCTGGAAGATAAAAAGAGAAAACAGGACCCATAGTGTTGGCAGCTATAATGTCAACAGAGCATTCATCCTCACATGTTCCTTGGCTGAATCCTCCAACAACAATGCCAATTCCTATTAGAACAGAAACTCCCCATATGAAGAGAATCATAACCACAGTTATCTTGGCATTCATTTTCATCCTATATGTCAAAGGCTGGCAGACTGCATAGTATCTGTCAATTGAAATACAACATAGGTTCAGAATAGAAGCTGTGCACATTGTGACATCAAATGTGTCCCGTATTTTGCAGAACAAGCTTTCATAATTCAGACATGAAGTCACAGTGAATAACATGCTAAAGGGGAAAACTAAAATCCCAACAAGCAGATCAGAAACAGCTAAGGAGAGAATGAGGTAGCTAGTGGGAGTATGGAGCTGCCTGAAGTAAATTATCGAAAATATGACAAGTAAGTTTCCACAAAGAATAACAACAGATAATAGTCCAAGAAGTATATACAATGATACACACATGACAGAGGGGTTGTTTGCAAACATGTAAGTTTCATTGTCTGAGACATAACAGGGATGGATGTAAGTCTCCCCATTACTGTTGTTTACCTTAATTTCTGCATCCATGTCAAAGAATTTACCAGAATCAAGCTATAAGAAGAAAAGATAAACAGAATTTAGTTTAGTTTCTTAAAGATTTTTTTAAAACATAACCAATTTAACTTTATTCAGGACATCCTTACCTTGTGATGCTTTATGCTACTACCTTTGATTTAAGAGCTGAGATGTGCCTTTGGGTTTAAAAATCTCATAGACATGTTGGTCACATTCTTGCATTAGCCAATCAGATGTAAGTTCCAATGCCATATTTACATAAGGAATAAAAACAGTACTTGTTAAGATACATATGTACATGTTTGTGTGATTAAAAATTCCCGGTTGCCTGGCACTCACAGTGATATAACTTTATCATTCTACAATTATTTGTTGACTATACACATTTTGCATCAATAATGTCTTTTAATTTGCCCAATTCCCCAGAAATAAAAAATAAACAAATCTACATAAACAAAACAAAACACTGTGGAACTCAATGTCTGATTTGTACTGTTTGTTTAGCTTTTAGGTTTTCTTGATCTTAAATTTAAAAACACCAAAGGCCTTTGATGACCAATTAGATAACTGGCTGTTTTCACTGATATTTAAATTACTTTATGATTGTTTTAAAAACATAAATGTCTCTATACCATATTTATTTAATTCCTCTATTGGAGCCCAAGTTTAACTGTATATTGCAGTTTTGTATTTCACATCCAGAAAATTTAAAGCTACAGTGTGTAATAATTACAGGGATATACAGTCAGAAATGTAATATATTATACATAACTATGTTATTTATCATCATCTATGAGCTCAGCCTCTTAACCTTAATATTTGCGTTGCCTTAGAATTTGTTATTTATAATTACATAGGAGCGGGTTGTTAAGGAAGAAAAATATTCTAACATAGTTAACTTTGGAAAAAGGTTGGCTTTTCATTCTTCCCTTCCCAGGTCCACTCGGCGAGCTGCGTTTGGTAATAAAAACCAACATTGCGTGTTGACGTCACAGAATTACAGAGTTTAATCCAATATAAGACAATGCATACACTTAGAAATAAGACAATGCACAAACCTACACCAGAAACTGCAGAACAACAGAGACATACATTCAATTTACCTGACATAAAGAAAAATAGAAAAGAAAGGCAAAGACGCGTCTTTGGAGAGAGCTGGTGCAAAAGCAAAATAGTGGCAGCTATCTGAATTTTTGCCCCTGTGCACAAAATTTTATAATGTATCCTTCCCTTTAGTATAAGGGCCTCCGCTTGACCAATTGGAAGCTACCTTGGACACTCAGAAAAACTAATTTACGGCCGGGCCTCCACTGGATTCTAAGGTAATCTGGCTGTCATGAGATAAAGTTTAACAGAATCGATGTGGAATGTTGAGGGCCCCTTTCCTGCCATAAATCTAAAGAACAAACTTAAATTCAGTATTTTGGTTCAGGGAAAGGTTATCTTCACAACTCAATCTTGCTATTCTGCACCATTTCACCCCAAAAGATTGAATCCTGCCTTAAACCACATAGAATCAACAGAACATGAAATACAATTCCTTTTCTCACATATAAAACATAATATTCAATCTAACATATTCAATTACCCCATTAAACATATATCCTGAGCAATTTTCTAATACTAAACAAAACATTTTCATTCAAACAATTTCAATTTGATTCTGATATTGTCACAGATAGTACAATTTTCAATTAAAAAACATGATATTAATACTTAGAAAAATGTCTTAAAAACTAAATGTTAGTGTTTTAACATTCTACATTTTATTCAGTATCACAGCATCCCAGATGTTTATTCTGGAAGACTTTTGATCTTCTGTAAACCAAGCAGACCTCTCCCCTGAGGCTCAACTGTTATTCACCCCCCAGGAGATACTCATTTTATGGCCTCCTGTGCTTTGAATACTTACCCATTAGTAGTTTTAAATCATTAACACAGCCTTGTTCAAAATTAAGAAATATAGTCAAAATGAAAGTGTTCAACATACCTTTTACACATGCCATAAGATTAACTGTATTAAAGACTAAAAATAATCATTTTTCTTCAACAGTCCCTCTTTTGAGGTCTGAGACACACAGACCTCACAAATCTAATTGATTAGGCCTTCTAATAGAGGAACCAAAAACTATCTAGTATACTAAAAAACTAAAACATTAGCCCAATTATATAACAGTCCCCTTTTTAGACAGAACCTCCTAGCTCCACTGCCAGGTCATGTGTCTGAAGCTGAACTCCATTATCTGAACTTATCAAATGTATCTTGCGCTGTCCAACAATTTAATACTCACCTGATGAACCACAAAATTTTAACCAGTAAAAACTAAACTAAAAATACATTTCACTTATCAAACATGAAAAATCATAAAACTCAGTTATGTCAATAGAACAAAACACACAATAGAAATATCAGCCCAAGTATAAAATTAGAAAACCAGAGTAAGATATCTCGAAATTACAAAAAAATGCTCAGGAAACTTAAAAGACAATACTCGCCACAAAAAATTACAATTTGTCAATACAAAACAATAACAACATCAAAGAAGAAAATAAATCATAAACACATAAAAATTACAAAAGACCTTTTTTTTTTTCTTTTTTTCACAATTCAACAATAAGAACTTAGAGTTCGTCTCTATGCTCCTTCAATAGTCCTCCAAAAATGAATATGAATTCTTCGTCAGGAAACGATCCAAAAATACGCGCAAAAAGAAACGAATGTTCTTGAAGAGTTCGCAAAAAAACGAAAACACGCAATAAAGAGAAGATAAGTTAATGATGATCTTGTAGCCTGATCCTTCACGTGTTCCTCCTCGGTTGTAAACCTCAGGTTTCCACCTGAGTGTCCGTTGCTCACTGAAAATTGGAGTATTGTGCCAATATAACAGTGAGTTTAAGGAGAGGTTGCAATCTCCTTTTCTCAATGGAAGGACACCGGAACAGGATTATTGTGCCTGTCCGGGCCTTTTAAGCCTTGTAATTCAGGAAAATGAAGTGGTTTTGGCAGGAATCCCTGCCACACTTCTGCCTGGAAATGCAGATCCTCCTCCGCGCTGTGATGGCCCTCAGACACTCCTCGACCGCAGGTTGAGACTGTAGATTCTCCTGTATGCCCTGCAGCGTGCGCCGTGGCTCCTCAGCTGCTGTGCACTGACTCCAATGGAACCACGTGTCTCCTTTTCCCTTGCAGACGGACAGCATGAGATGTCCTCTCCACGACTCGGTATGGTCTGGCAAAGCGAGGTTCAGACCACTTTCTTTTGATGACCTTCAGGCGCACCCAGTCGATTTCCCGAACTGATCCCGAGCCTGGACGTTCCTGTGTCATCTGGTATTTTGTAAATTCCGCTGCCAGGACCTGTAACTCATTGAAGAAATCTTTATGAGATAAATGTGCAAGCTTACCTTTCCATCCTGGAATGCGGGTAGCAGGTCCTGGAAACATCCGTCCTGTCTGGAGCTCATATGGAGAGAACCCTGTTGATTGGTTAATGATTGATCCTACACTTTATGACAGCTTCACTGTCTTCCTTTTGTATTATAAATCTGCTACTTTGGAGCTGTATTTTATCAATCCTTTGACCCTCTTTTTATATAAGGCTTACATGAGAAATAAATGTTTCCTATCATGTTGAACCCAAAACTGTATTTTAGAAGCAGTTCCATAATTGTTAATTTGTAAATCTCCAATTTAGACCAATTTAATTTCAATCATCATATTTTCTATTTTTTAAAACCTTAAAGAATGATCATCCTGTTTTACATGAATATAGTTAACCTTGTCACTAAATATAAAAATGATCTACTTCATTCCAATCATAGTTTTAAATCCCCAAAAATTTTAACCATTTTTACCTTTGATCCATTTATTCTTTTGAAAAACTATTTATAAAATATTTAATTGAATAATGTATTACCCTTTTTATATTGTTTATCACTTATCAATGCCTTTTCAGTTTTGGAGAGAGATTCGATACAGCTAAATTTATTAAATGATGTAAATCTTTAGTTTAGACCTTCCTGGATGTCTTAGTTAAACAACTTATTTTAAAACATATGAATAGAGATGCAAAAATCCAATGATCACCTTCCTTAGTTTAAGCAACACTGTTTCATGTAAATTATTTGATAGGCAATATTTTGTTTAGTATATTCAATTTGTAAATTTTACTTATTTCATATCCAAATAGTTAGCTCATCTTTAATGCTGCTAATACACCGTAAAACATTTAATGTATTTTGATTTAACTTCAATAACCTCTTTTTCCGAAAAGTAAAGAGAGATCCAAACTAAAAATTTGCTTATCAGATCAATTCCATTCATGTCCCCCTGTTTCTATAACAGAACAAATGTTCTGTCATAGAATACAAGAAAAATCCTATACAACTCATTGAGATGAAATCCGCTATCACCACTAACTTTAGCCTCATGTAACACAGGTGGATGCAATTCAAACATGGTGTCCCAGATGCTGTTACAATCTGCACACCTCAATCAAAGAATTTAATGTTTGATTAAATTTATGAAATCAACACAGAACTTGGTGTCATTCGCTCAGTAAGCTCTATAGACACCCATCAATCCACTTTAACACCTTAATTTTAAATTCCATTTAAATTTAAATTTAGTTTTACTGAATGGTAGCCTCTGTACTATGTAAATAAAATTTAGATCATCTTCCTTAGTAGATGAAGCATAACACACAATGCAATTCAGCTATAGTTAAGAAAAAATATGTAATTGCAACCGTTAGTCCCTGCCCATTCTTTGCAGGCAGGAAGGGAAAAAGACACATCAGCATTTTGTGAGACAAACAGAGTGAACCATGTAGGAAGTTAAAGCATTTCCGAGGAATGCAGTGTCGTAACAGTTGGTGCACACCAACCCCCAAACTGCATTGTACAACCTCTGACCCCAGGAGATGGGGTGTCCTCAACACTTAGAATTACACTGCAGGGCTTCAGGACATGAAGACAACAGGGCGCCTCAGTGCTATAACTCTACCAAGTTTAGTTGGCACCCATTTCATCTCCAACCTGCAGACTGAAGGGAACCCCAGGAGTGGGCTTTGGCGCCCAGGTCACATGATCAGAGGTGAGAATCCAGGATCAAACATGAGAACACACAACAGGACCACCGCT